ACCTCCATTATAAAGACAGGTGAATTTGCTGTTGGAAGCAAGTATGAGGACATGTTGAAAGTAAGTCAGCTTTTTGAATTTCCTCTCAAAATTCAAGTTTCATGACCTGGGTTAGGTTCTTATCTTTGCACTCCACAATATTTTTACAAAGGAAGCATCTCCTCGAGGATATCAGCTACTCAAGCTTCTGCAAAGCTATGTTGAACTTGATATGTATGCATCTCTCAAGGTTCATACAGAGACAACTATTCAAAAAGGTCAAGAGGAACTGTTGGTTTTTGAGAAAGCACTTCATGTATGTACAATAATTGGTTTACATTGCCTTTAACAATTTACCTTTATATATATAGGAATATATGCCATTTAACCCAGCTAAATCATGGTCATTTCCAAAATCACATACACATAAGCATATGTTTGACGATATCCAGCAAAAAGGGGTGACACGAAACTATAATACAAAGCCCAATGAAAAATGTCATGGTGCATTCAAAAACAGCTACAAGTTCCGAACAAATTTCAAGAATGTTGCACCACAGGTATTTGCTAAATTCTCTAACTATTCAAAGTCCTGTTTTAAATTGACATAAATAAGATACTCAAATTTGATCATGCCAATTTAGTTGCAACTGTCATCCGCGATGACATTGACTACCTTGATTTATCCCAGGCAGAAGCATCTGCTGAAGATAGCCAAATCCAGGTGACACGAAACATCATTGGAACAGCCCATGTATCCTTGGGTTCTCAATGTGCACCAGTTGCATTTTCAGACCTTGAGGATGAACACAGTGCAGACTCTGCATTCAAAGATTTTCGGAAGAAGATTGGACGCTTTTTTACAAGATATCTTGGAAGATTGGTAAGGTTTGGACCAAGTGATCAGGTAAATTTTGACCTTTGAAGACTACTCTTGTCCACTTATGATGGTATCTGAATTCAATAGATCAATCCCTTTCAATTGCTAAGAGTAACTATGAATCGAAAGATGACTGGTGTGTAGCCACTGACCTTCTTCGTGCCAACCCAAAATTCCATGGCAAGCCATGATATGATTGCATCATTGTCAAGATTGATG